TTTTTTTTTTTTTTTTTTGTCAGGGGCAGGGGAAGGGGGAGAGCAGCGGTTTTCCTCCTAATTGTGCCAGCTATCCCAAATCTACACCCAACCCTGTCAGTCAGATCAGCTCCCTACACTGGCTTGACGCCGGTGTGCAAAGGTGTGGTCAGGAGAGCTACACCAGAGCGGTATTTCCATTTCCGGAAGAGGCTTGTGGAGGGCAGAAGAGAACCAGGGAGGAAAGGCTAAGAATCACAGAATGGTTAGAGTTGGAAGGGACCTTAAAGATCACCCAGTCCCACCCCCTGCCCTGGGCAGGGACACCTCCCACCACACCAGGCTGCTCCAAGCCCCATCCAACCTGGCCTTACACACTTCCAGGGATGGGGCAGCCACAGCTTCTCTGGGCAACCTGTTCCAGTGTCTCACCGCCCTCACAGGGAAGAATTTCTTTCTGGTATCTAATCTATTTCTCCCCTCTTACAATTTAAAACCATTACGCCTCGTCCCGCCACTACACTTCCTGAGAAAGAGTCCCTCCCCGGCTCTCCTGTAGGCTCCCAGAGGCCGAACAGCCCCAGTAAGCCCCGCTTCCCCGCACCTCCTGCCCCCCAACGCGGCCTCCCGCCCCCTCAGCGCGGCCCGCACCGGTTTGCTCTCCGCGGGGGGCGCTGGCTGCGCCGGAGGCATGGCTTGCACGGGTCCGGCCGGCATGGTGCTCCCTCGGGACGGGCGGGGAGCTCTTCCCCGCCGGAGCCGCTGCTGTGGCGAGACGAGCGAGGGCCGGAGGAGGCCGACACCGCCAACGACGAAATGGCGGCCGCAGAGCGGACGCTGCGCAGGCGCGCGGGAAGTGACGGCAGCACGTCAGCAGCGTGCGCGGGCGCAGGCCCGGCGGCGGGGAGGGGAGGGCAGAGCGCACGCGCGGCGGGAAGTGCCATTAGAGCGGCGCGCGCGGGGGGGGGGGGACCCTAGCGGGGCAGGGGGGGGGGAGGGCAGAGCGCACGCGCGGCGGGAAGTGCCATTAGAGCGGCGCGCGCGGGGGGGGGGGAACCCTACAGGAGCAGGAGGAGCGTACCATTGCGGGGGGGCGGGGTCTCCAGAGGGGGCGTGGTCGTAGAGGGGCGTGGCCAGCGCGGTTGCCATAGCAGCGGGCGGCGGCGCGGGCAGGCGGGGCCCTGTCGCCGCGACCCCGCACAGGCCTGGGCCCGGCCCCTCCTCGCCCCGAGACCCCCTGGAGCCCCCCCGAGGGTCCCCCAGCCCCGGGGATCACTGTGGTACTCCAGCCCCCCGCCCCCCGTGGGGCTGTCCCGCCCTCCTCGGCCCACAGGCCTCGTCGCGGCCCACAGGCCTTGTCAAGCTCCACAGGCCCTCGCCCACAGGCCCCGTCCCGCCGCCTCAGCGACATGGCCCACCTCCTGGGCCACCGCGGCTGCATGGAGAGCCTGCAGGCCGACCTGAAGGACCTGCAGGCAGCCATCACCGACGTCTCCTCCCGGGTCGGGCCGGTGCGTTTCCCCTCCTGGAAGTTCCCCGATAAAGTGTCCTGCGAGCTGGACCTGGCAGCGCTGCTGGAGAGGTACAGCTACACTGAGGACAACCCCGAATTCACCCAGCACTCCCATGTGGTGCTGCTGGAGCTGGTGATCGACAGGTGAGAAGGCAAAGCCAGCTCCAAAGACCCTTCTTAAAAGAAACTTGGCTGGCAGAGCGGCACCTTTTCCCTGGAGGGAAGGGGATGGTTTTATGTCCAACTTGTTGACCATGGACAAGTGTTTTGGATGCTTTTTTTCCCATGTGTTTCCATGATGAGTGGTGTGCTGGCACCTCAGCCTCGTGCTCTGCAGCTCTATGCTGAGTTTTAAAACCCTGCTCCTTTCCCTGCTGAGAGCTCAGGGCTACCAGTGCAAATTAGATTAGATATTAGGAAGAACTTATTTGGTGTGAGGGTGGTGAGAGCCTGGCCCAGGTTGCCCCGAGAAGCTGTGGCTGCCCCATCCCTGGAGGGGTTCAAGGGCAGGTTGGAGGGGGCTTGGAGCAACCTGGTGTGGTGGGAGGTGTCCCTGCCCAGGGCAGGGGGTGGAATGAGATAATCTTTAAGGTCCCTTCCAACCCAGCTTGTTCTGTGATTCTGTGAAATGCTGGCCACCAAGGAGCAGAGCAAGCCACTGCTCCACCTGGGAGCCAAGGGCACCTGGGCAGACGGGGACAGGCTCGTTAAATTGCCCCCCCCCAAACTTTGGGAACACTCAGACATGGCTGCACCCACAGCCCTGGGCAGCAAAGGCACCTTTTGCAATTGGGGTTAAATAAATACGACTGTTTTAAAAGATGAGCTGTTGTCCCTGATGATTAGGGATTGAAACTGACAGCGTGGGTGCCCCAAATCTTTTTGGTAAAGCCTAACTGGATGTGGCTGGCTGCAAGCAGCATGCTCAGCCTGTGTCCGGACAGCTGCAAGAGGATTTTCATCCCACCAAACCCTGCTCCGTGGAGTGATTCAGGCCTGGGGAGGTCACAGGAACATTGATATCACACTCCTTTGCCAAACTTGCTCTGTCCCAGGGATGGGGAGGGAGGACAACCTCCCTTACCTCAGCAGTGTCCCTTCAGGCTCGCTGTGCTCTTAAACACCAAGGGCCCTTTCCCTATTACCAATATTCCATTGCTCTAAGCTGTGTTTTGTTTCTGTTGAAACAGGCTGCTGCTGCTGCTTCAGAGCTTCACTGGCTACGCAGAAAACCTGCTCAGCGATCGAGCCGTGCCCCCGGCGCAGGCAGTGGGACCCTGCATGTCCGCGGGGCTGACGGCGAGGAGGTACTGGTGCAGCATGCTGAAACTCGGGGCTTTCTACCAGCAGCTCCTGGCCGAGGTGGGACATTTGGGGGCCCTGATCCCCCACGAGCTGAGTGCAGGGCTCATGGAAATGGCCCTTGCCTCCCCCTAAATGATTTGGACTGTGCTGAGGTCACGGTCCTTCTTGGGGACAGCACAGGGTGGCCGGGCCAGATGCACTCCTGGCTCATGACCCTCTGAGTGCTGACCCGTGTGTCGGACAGGACACATTTGTCCTGCACGTCACTTCCCTCCTCTAACCACTGCTCCCAGCCGTGCTGCTGGATCCAGCCTCCTCCACCAGGATCTCAGTGGTGGATCTCAGATTTCCAGCGAGCCTGGAAAAATATTCTCCTGCCAATGCACTGCCCCTGCAGCTCTGCCCACCCCACGGATTGTAGGCTGAGCTGGCTCAAATCACTGAAATAATCTGTGGTAAAAACACTGCACCACCCCCTTGTATTTCGCACCCCCCCCCCCCAAAACCACCCCTT